AAGGCTCTTGAGGAGCTGTGTGTGTTTAGAAGTAGGAAACACCAGTGGGGAAAGAGAAGGAAAAGTAGGGGTCCTGCCCAAAAGGAAGGAAATGCATCAAGAGAGAGAAACATACCAGTCCGCCTCCTGTATCAGTAACTACGTTACTCTGTGTAGTGACAAAGCAAGAGAAGCTGTCTCCAGGAGACAAGAGGGGTAGAGAGTTCGCTGCTGGTTTGGTGTACATGGAACATTTCTGTTTCTTGGACTGTAACTGAGGATACTATGACACAGTATTATTGCTCAAATGCATTGAAAACTACATTGAATACATTGAATTGAAATTTGCAGGAAACCTAGTCATGGATGTACAATCATTAAAATGATTGTAGAAGCTGAGGTGCTCTCATTACTTGAGTATATTTGTTATAGATTTTCCTTTGGCCTCAAAGGTTTATAATTCTTACATTATGCCAGACCAAGAGAGGCCCGAATCATATTTCACAATTTACTTAGCCAGTTGCACATACTTTTTCTCCGAAGGGCTGCAGATGTGGCATCTCCTCTATCTCCCCACTCTACGACCACGACAGGGTCACAAGTCTTATCAGTGTCGGCAGAGTTGGCTAGTTTAGACAGACGGGGTCAGGGTAAATCATGCCTTGCCTGAGCCCCTATCACAGTCCGAGTGGACAGGAGATTAGCCAGGCATGAGCTTTCATCCCAAAACACCCAGTGGCCCAAACTGCAAGTCAGGTACCCACTAACGGAAGATGGCTAACTGGGCTTCCATGGTCTAAAGGCTACACAGGAAAAGGACTATCTTCAAGGTCAATCAGGGCCCAAACAGATGCTCAACTTCAGTTAGGAAAGCCTACATTTTACACTCAGAAGCAAGCACGTTACACGCTGTCTAAACCCTTTCACCTCCAAAAGCAGCCTGGCTGGAACCCCAGCACACGCTGAGGGGTGGCAGGCGGCCCCACACGACTCGCTACGCTCTGCAGCTGGCCAGACCGGCATCTCCAACCTGCCTGCGTGTCTTGTGCTATCCAGGTACCACATGGCCGTGAATAAGACATGAAAGAAGAATCTTGGGAGATGGCTTTCCCAAGTAGGAACTGACCCTGGCTTAACACAAGAGAGTTCAGAATTAAGGACCTAAAACGGCCATGTGTTCTCTGAAAAGAAGCAACTGTAGCCCCCACGTTTGCTTGACTTAAGGATCCTGTGCTGTGAAATGACACACACATCAGCCATCTTGTTCCCATTTCAGTCATCAGCTGAGGAGTCAGCACTTCTCTTAAGCAGCTAAATCCAATACCAGCAGTAACCAGAACTTTCTCAACGTCAGCAAGGCCACCTCGACTGCACTGACTGCCTCTGGGCGGGAGTCACTCAACTGAGGCCTCTACGGGGAACCCATAGGTGGACCTCAGAGGACCCCTAAACCCCTCAAAACTCTAAATGTGCATTTCCTGTGTGGGTGCTTTTTCTCAAGGAGAAGGTCTTCGGTTCTCATCAGAGTCTCCAAGGAACGTGTGACCGAAAACCGATTAGGAAATACTTCTCTGAGTGCATGTCAATCAGTCCATGAAAAACTGTGTGTGAAGTGGGGTCAGGACAGTCAGCGGGTGCTTGTGGAAGGTGTCACACCCTGTCCCTCCACCAGACCCTGAGCTGCACCTATGGTGTCTCTCGGGAGACAAGTGACACTGATAATAGGGAGCATGCAAACTGTTTAAGGTAAGATAATCATCTGCAATGTAAAGCTGGAACAATTCAAGATGCTAAAGGCTGTTTGAGAGCTTCTGGTTATCACTGAAGTTCTCCCAAAGCCGGGTGAAGTCGGGACCTCCGCCCATGGCTTCTGTGGCGGCTGTGTCGTTGCTCTCGTCAGTGTTTGTTTCGTGCTGTGCTGTTGTCATGGCATGTGTCTCACCACGAAAGGTATACATATTAAGTATATTTCATCAACAATTGGACTTTGTTTCCTTCCTTCCCAAAACAGTTTCTGGACAAAGCCCTGCGTATTCTACTGAGTCCATTCCTGATCGCCACCTCCCAGTGGTTCGTAACAGACTGTGTGTGGGTTCTAGACTTCCTATGACCATTTCTCTTGGTGCTACCAGCTTGTCATTCCCCCGTTCACAACCTCCTTCACTTGGTCCAAAGGCCTGTACAACTGTGCAAGGGCATTTCGTGGTACAAATGATGCTCCTTTAAGGAGTATAAGTATAGCATCCTGTGTTTAGTTTGTTTCTACAGATTTAATCAATAACCTGTCCCTTCTGGACTCACACTCCTTTTACATCATAAACGCTCAGACCCTAAGCTTCAAGGTTACAGCCTCATCCTCAGCACACACACACACACACACACACACACACACACACACACACACATGTCCTGGGCCAAACCAACCCATTACCTCCAATGCTTCCGAAAGTGTGACCGGCAGACCATTCATAACAGAATCTTTATGGGGTGGGAGGACTTGTTAAAAATGTATATTCCTGCCAACCCACAGGCCAATAGGATCAGAATCCATGGAGTTGGAATGTAGTGAGCTACATTTGTTAACATATCCCCCATCCATCCAGATAATTCTTAAATACACTAAAATTTGAGAACCTTGATTAAAGGAAGCATTTCCTCTCTGGTTTGAGCCCTTTTCTTTTCAGGGATCTCAGTGAAACTACTTACGCATCCATCTCGCTCATCTCTGAGATCAGCATCTCCCTGTCACTTCCTAAGAAATGTTCTCTCTCTCGCCTTTGCCAGTAGCTCTCCTATAGGCTATTTCTCAGCCTCTGCAGCCACCTTGGCAAGTCCTCAGTACCCAACCACTCACTTCTTCCCTCGTTCTGCGCTGCCCTGAAGAAACTCCCTTAGAGTCTATCACGCCAGACTGCCTGGACCCAGACTCCCCTCACGATGCCCTGCCCAGCGATTCACAGGACATGTTTGCTTGTGAAAGGCAGGCTCCCATCTGGCCCACAAAATGCCTCCTAGCTTTCCTCTTAAATATTAAAACTATTTAAGATCACTTATATACAGGCTTTCTCTACATTTTTAATTTTTTAAAGATTTTATTTATTTATTTTTAGAGAGAGACCAAGACAGGGAGAATATGAAGGAGAGAAACATCAATGTTTGGTTGCCTCTCATGCACCCCCTACTGGGGACCTGGCCCACAACCCAGGCATGTGCACTGACTGGGAATCGAACTGGTGACCCTTTGGTTTACAGGCTTGCACTCAGTTCACTGAGCCACACCAGACAGGGCTCTACATTTTTTAAAGCACACACACCACTGCTATAATAAATGAAGTGAAAACAAAATTCTACTATTTTATCATCCTAAAATGGTACATTAATACACCATATCCTCCTGTTTAATCCTGACTCATAATGAAACCTAAATGTAAATGAAATTTTTAACTGTGATTTTCTAATTTAACACCATATCAAATATATTTTTATAACTACCATAAGTATGACCTTCCATCACTACAAAATATTCTGTGAAATGAATGCTGCCAGAATCGCTATTGCTTATTTAGGTTATTCTCAGATTTTGCTGCTATAAATGATAGTCATTGAATGTGTTTACACACATTATTTTCTCCTTCTTTGAATTATTCATTTAGAGAAAATTCCCAGATAGAATTAATAGATCAACGTGTATGAGTATTTTAATGGCTCTTGACACATATTGCCAAGTTGCCATATTTGTATTTTACACAGTTCCCTGCTGATCATGTTTAATAGGCTCTCCTCCAAAATAAAAAGTTCGAAATGCCTTATTTATAGTGTTTGCCAATTTATCTGGTGTAGACACTCCTTCTGTGACCAGTTTCAAGCTACCAACATGAAATCACTGAATGCAGGCTGGAAAGAGAGGCTCAATAGCACACCATGAAAGAATGTTTCTATCCTACAAGTAAAATGGAGTAAATAACATCAAGAGCAGAGATAATAGTGAAATGTAGTAAGTAATTAGAAACTAATGAGTTCTGAGTATTTATTACCTTTAGTTTTAATGAAACTTAGTTATCTGAGTTACATAATTTAATTGTCATGGAGAATGTGTTTAACAACCAGCTTGCAAATTTTCTGGAAATATTATAATCAGCTCTTGCAACCAAGTACAGGCAGGCTCCTGCACATCCCCACAAACACCTCACTTGATATTTCGCAAAAGCACGTCTTTTTAATTTTTTTTAAGCCACTGAAAACTCACCTTATTCTCATCTCTGTCACAAACAACAGGCATGCTTTCAGGGTAGCAGACTATGCAAATACATAATGAATAAAATATAGTGTAAATAAAAGATAAAGTGTAACTTGGTCAATCAGCTCTGCCCACAATCCCCCTACGCTCCTCGTGCATTCATCTCACTAGCGTTTTCCCATGAGGTCACCTAGAAAACCCACTCGGTCATTTATTTACTCGAACAATGGCTGAATGGATGACTACATGCAATTGTCATGGCAAGTGTCATGAGAACCCTATTACATGTTACTTAACCACTGTCTTCCTGGGTGTTCTTTTCTACGAAACAGGGAAGAGGTCACTGCTGACTTCATTTTTGCAAGAAGCTACGTGGAGAGATAACAAGGCTCTAAGAAGCAAATGAGCATTCCGTAATGTTTTGAAATTCTCTCCCCAGAGTAATTCATTGTGTTCTGTTTTACTGGAAAAGAGAAATTGGGCGGGTGATTTGGCACTTTCTCCATTTGAAAGCAAATTCCTTTTTTGGACTCTCCTGGTGTGACAGTGAAGACCTTGCATGTGAAAACCCTTTAGAACTTTTTAGGTGGCATTCCACTCGGGCTAAAACGTAAGTATGGCTGAAAGGACCTCTCCGCATGCTCACACCCCTGACTCAGTCATCCCACTCCCCGGAGCTCTCCTCAGAAATCAATTCAAAACAAAGGAAAGTACTTTTGCGTGGCCATTGAATCTCAGTAGAGGGAAAATCATTCTGTCTCATCTCAGCACTCACTCGACTTACCCTCTCTGTGCTTGGGGCCCCGGGAGGAGAGCTCTGGATTAGTGGCTCCTGATTGCTCATCTGTGGAGCAGCTGCCTCCAAGTCACCTGGGGGGAAAGAGTTTGTTCTTGTTACCACTCGGACTCCTGGACCCCACACCAGGGCTGGGATGTGACACAGGAGAAGTGATGGTTTTTCAAAGCTGCTGCCCAGGTGGTTTTAGGAATGATGATTCTGGGCCAGAGCCAGACAAATCCAATGATCCCGAGCAACTGTCCACATCAGGGGAACAGAATGGCATCATATACAAAGCGTCCAGAAGTTGCTCAGGGCATTCAAGCAGCTCCTCGAGTCAAATGACTAAAGAGCTAGGAGGAGGCCTTGTTTCTGGCAGCCCCCCCACCTCCCTCCGTGCACCCTGTCCATCGCCCACCGCCCCACTGGCTGCCCGCACGCTCCTCTTGGGCGCCCATCCTGACTCGGGTCCATCCCTTTCTGTACACAAAGCCCCAGACTTCCCTCTCTTATGTTATCAGTGGGGCTGAGAAGGCAAACAGTATTACCACTTGACTAAAGTAGTATGCACATATGAATGAGAATCCCCTGCATAATGAACATATAGGCCGTATTTGAATTTTTTAAAGGGAGCTTACTAACCCAAAAGAATCTCTTGTCTGGAGAGTGGCACAGAAAAGCAGGATGCTTCTTAATCTTGGCTTTCCCCCAGACCGTAAGCATCTAGGACCCAAATAAGCACTTTGGGCATTTATTGTGAAAATGGCCCCAACTCTTGAATGAGATGGATTTTTAGCTATGCCTTGCTAGCACTAAAATTAAAATTAAATTAAATAATTTAAGCTGACCAAGGAAGGTCACACTCTCTCTGCCTCTAATTCCAAGCCCTTTTGTAATTCCACCCAAAGCACTATGAGAGATACGTCTGCCACGGACAGCCAAAATAACACAGAAGTCACTCAGAAAGTTGTCTTATAGTCCGAGACTCCGATACAGAAAGGCTCAAAATACCGGTTTCTAATCTCTTCTCTTTTTCATATGCACTATCCCTATAAAACACCCAACTCTGTATCTGCTCCATACCTGGTGCTCAAAAAATATTAATTCCCAGCCTCTGCCTGTCGGCCTCGTTTACTTTACAGATATCTCATCCCAAGGCCAGGAACAAAATCATTTCAGCGTCCCCAGCTAAGGCCTTAATAAGAATCATACCAGCTACATTCATTGAGTTAATTTTATGCCAGGCACGAGGCTAAATGCCTCACATAGTTTTATTTCACTTTATCCAAAAAACAACCCTCTAATATAGGTATTTTCAGTTATTATTACAACTACTTCACAGTTTTCTTTTTAATCTGAGGATTTAAGAAGTTAAGTAACGTGCCCAAGTTTCGCATAGCTCAGAAGGGACAGACCGAGGCTTCAACACAACACAGTCTGGCCCCAAAGTCTGAGCTATTATTCACCATGCTATATTTCTGTTATTATGTGGGCATAGAGATTTCATGGCCAGGAAATAAAGTGCTCTGAATCATTAGGAAAAGAGTGGCAGCTGGTCCAGAACATCTCTTTCAGATCTGCCAAGGAAGTAACACATATTTCATGCAATTTTTGGACTGGGTTTTGTTTTTTTTTTAATCCTCACCTCAGGACATATTTTTGTTGCTTCCAGAGACAGGGGAAGGGAGAGAGAGAAACATTGATGTGAGAGAGAAGCATTGATTGGCTGCGTCGTGTAAGCACCCAGATGGGGGACTTCGCATGCCTGGACTAAAAATCAAACCCACTACCTCTTGGTTAGCAGACGACGCTCCGACCAACTGAGCAGCCAAGTCTGGACCGCCCGTTGAAGGACAGAGATTTTCTTGACATCAGCCAACCCACTTGTCCTCCCAAGAGCAAGGCGACTTTAATTACTAGGTGTTTGAAGAGTCTCCTTAAAACGTGGTAACCAGAAAATTGGAGGTCTTAGAGGTACCCCAAGACACACAACCCTTGCTCTACAAAAACGGGGTACTATAGGGAGACAGTAGAGGACAGTGGGGGGGCCGCAGATGTGGAGATGCATAAAGCAGCTCCGTGGACCAGGAGGCAAGGGTCTCGGGGCTCCCACCGAGCTCCCTGCGTGCTGTAAAAGCTGAGAGACAGACACCCGAGGACAAGAGATCACTGGGAAACTGCCCAGAGGAGTCTGCCCCCCTCGGCAGCCTCTGACGGTTCTCTGTAACCGTCTGCGTGTTCATCTTCCAGGCTTATTTCCTGCCAGTGTGTAAAACGGACTTTCTGCGTTTCTTGGGCCAGTCTCCTCGACTGGACAGTCATCTCCTCTTCAGCCTCACCCTCGTGCCTTTGCCCACACAGTGTGAATTAACCTTCTTCTCCTTCTACTCAAAGCTCCTACCTTTCCAAGGCCCGTGCCTGCCGGACTGTGCTGGCTTCAAATGCCCTTCTCAGAACTCCTGTAACTCCCGCAGCGGTGCCGCCCCATTCCTCCCTCCATTCCCACCTCACGCTGCTTCCTGAATTTACTTCTTACACGACTACAAAATAATAAGGTCCTTCAAATATAAAGAATTTAGAAATTCTTTGTGTTTATCTTACATCCTTCACAGCACCAGCTTAGAATGTATAATTGATCATCGGACTCTTGTTGTTAACTTTAATGTCAGTTTTTATAAAGTACCTAACACCATTGATTTCGCAAATTTTATTTACTTACCGCCTGGCCCCTCACAGCAATATGTGAAACAGAAAAGCGAGACATTCCACATCCAAATCTACATCATTTAGATTTTGGTTCTTTCTTTTCTGAATTAGAAAATTTTAAAACTCCTATTTGCAAAACTTTGGGAATCTTTAGATTTACTTAATCAAACGTAGGGTGATGTTTATACTACCCATTTTAAAAAATGTTGAACCAGAATTGACATACAATATTATATTAGTTTCAGGTGTACAACACAGTGATCAGACATTTATGTAACTTACGAAGTGACCATCCCCAGCGAGCCCATCTGACACCCTACTAAGCCACCCAAACTTGAGCTCACTCATAGTTGATCACAAACCCATCAATTCCCTAGGAGAATATCTGAAAAACCAAAATCTAACTATTATAACATGAATTGTTTCAAAGACTACCTGTGTCTCCTTAGGACCTGGCAGAGGGACAGCTGGACATCAGAGCAGCCCCAGTTCTTCCTATAATGCCATTCCATGCTTTACAACAGGCAAAACAGGACAATTGGTATGTTTCGCTTAAAGTAAAAGCTAAATAAAGTTAGGAAGATTTTTTTATACCAAAGACATATTTTTAAAGAAGCAAAGTCTTACCTGTTGTAGAATGCCAAAGACATCCTCCACACCAAAATGACTGCCTCCGGATGTCAGAGCTGCTCGGCACAGGTAGGTAACAACAAAAGCAGCCGAGCCCTTTCACCGTGATGGCTTCCTTCTAAGATCCACCTTTCCTTCCTCCTCAACAATGTAAGTGGTTCACGCTGGAAGAACAAAAAATGATAGAGGTAGGCAGGTAAAAACTCCAGCCCAAGACGCCTGGGTGAATGTGCGTGGTGACTGGGGCACCAGGAACCATCCGAATGTGAGAAGAGGTTAGCGAGTTCCTGTGTATAAGTCAGTTTCCTGTAGCCGGCTTCTCCGAAGAAGGGGTTTCATTTGTGTGGGGTTTCGTGGTGTGTGTGTGTGTGTGTGTGTGCACAGGCGGGCGCAAGTGCACACGTGCGTTTCTCTCCATGACAATGTGAAAATTCCCCAGATAAGAGGCAGACTAAAACCTTGGCTGTGTAGCTGGGTTTGCGTTTAATATATCAGTGCTCCTGGGCCATTTCTTCTCCCCTGTCTCTCCATTTCCCACCAGCAAATCACCCGCATAAAACAGGAAAGAAAGAGTGAGAAACCAAGAAGATTTCTTAAAGATGTGAAATAAAGCAGAAAAAAAGAAGAAAAAGTCCACTCCACCGACTGGTCTTGGTTAACTGAAGCTTAGGAAAAGGCGCCTTAGAACTTACAAGTCAGCCTAATGAACACACTATGGGGGGAAACCAGGAGGTGGGTGGTTTGCTTTGCTTCCCTTGATTAATAACTACCAAATAATAATTGAGCAACAAAACAGACTCCGCCACAGCAAGAGCTCAAGCAGCCCTGCCAGGCACTCACCCGTTTATAGACCAGCACCTGTGCTGTCGGGGACGCGACTGCCAGTTGTTTTCAGACTCAGAGTTTCGTTATCTGCCTTCAAACACAAATTTACTTGTTTGTCCTCCGGTGCAATCCAGGTGTAGAGACACCTGCATTTAGATGACGGCTCAAGTGCCTAACCTGACAAACTTAACTTTCATGCTGTGTTCACAATGCCCCACACCTTCAGTCCCCGAATAATCACAAATGCTGCTGCCCAGGGTGAAATCTTGGTTAAAACACCGACACGCCATGAGGGTCAAGTCAACAAATGTTTATAGGGCCCCTACTATGTACAAAATCCAGTGCTGGGTGCTGGAGTGGGGTGGGGAGACAAAGATGAAGGAGATGCAGTTTCTCACTCATAATGGTCAAAAGTAAGGGAAGGAGAGAGACACGGACGTAGAGGAGATGCTGTGAGTTAGGATCTATTTAAGCTGTCTCAAAGAATCCTGAGATGCGAGGGTCAGGTAAAAGGAAAGCGTATTAAACCATTTTCCCAGTTAAAATAGCCCCTGAACATTGGCATGTATTCTCTCATAATAGTCCAAGGAGCCTTGGCTGGCTTCCAGGAGGCCCCAAAGGCCATTATTCATGGGCCATCTTCATTGTCGCAGACTCATCTATTATGCACTCGGTACTGTGCACTGAAGAAAAAGACAAAAACCGAGACAGACACATTTCCCGTCCTCACAGTACCTATGTCCAAAAGTGGTGGAGACAAATAAAAATATTCACGTAACTGCAATAATTATACATTGGGGTAATTAGTACAAAGGAATCCGAGAAGACGCTGAGTTAAAGAGCATAACAAGATCTACATTCTAGAGGGGTCAGGAGGGCCTCTTCCAGCAACTGGCAATAAAGCTGAGACCTAAAGCTGTGACTTGAAGACTGGTATAATAATGAAAATTATCTGAGAAGCTTTAAAAATGCTAGTGCCTAACCCTGACCAGTTGGTTGGGCATTGTCCCACAAAACAAAAGGTCACTGGTTCGATTCTGGGGTCAGTCCAGATCAGGCGTGTACGAGAGGCACCTGATCGATGTTTCTCTCTCACAACAATATTCTCTCCCTGTCTTTCTCTCTCCCTTCCTCTCTCTTTGGTTAGTTGGAGCATCATCCCATAACCAAAGTGTTGGATTTCCGGTCAGGACACATTCCTGGGTTGCAGGTTCAATCCCCAGTCTGGGTGCTAACATTCCCTGGCCCAGGCACCTGGGGGAGGCAACCGCTCATCGTTTCTTGCTCATTTCAGTGTTTCTCTCTCTCCTTTCCTCTCTCTCTAAACAGCAGTGAAAAAATGTCCTTGGGCGAGGATTAAAAAATTAAATAATACACATCTAAAAAAATACTTTAAACTAAAATCTTGAGAGAGGGTGGAACTTAGGTACTGATATTTTTAAGTATTTTTTAGTTTAATTTGTCCGGGTTGTGGCATCAATACAAACTCTCCCAATCATTCTAATATGTCACTAACATTCTGATAATGAGAAAGAGAAGCCCAGAGAGAGAAGGAAGGACAGTCCAAATGGAGACAAGAGTATGTACAAAGGCCCTGAGGTAGGAAAGAGCATGGATTGTCCACGAGGGTGAATGAGGATTAATGCATCTGGTGTGCAGCACTGGAAGGAAAAAACAGTGCAAGATGAACATTCTCAGAGATGGACATTCAATTTCTAAGCCCATAAGAGACCTACGTGAGCCCGAGTGTTAATTTGTTAATGTGCAGGAAGCACTCAATCTGCCGGGTGAGATCTTTGAGCCCTCTGATGAGCACACTGTAGTCTTCTAGAAAATTCTCTGTGGAAAGCCCGATCACCACCATGTTATTATCAGGTATGTAGAACACACGGCTGGTGGGTACTTTGTTTACCTCCAGTTTTGGTCAGCAGGAGATTTAGGACAGCTAATAAAAATACATAGACATTGGTAAGATAAAACAATTTTTTTAAAGAAATGAGAAGATGAGGCCAAAAAAATTAAAGACAAAAAAATTAAGCTATAACCAAAGGTGAGGTTGGTGCAGAAGAGGTACACCATGTGGTTCCTGAGCTCTTAAGCAACTGGTTATGCGGCGGCAGACACGGAGTGCCCACTGGACAGAAATGAGTGCAGTGCTCCGGACAGTGAGGTCGAACTGGCTTCCCGGTACTGAGACTGAAGAGACACTGCGTTGTCATAGCGAGGACATCACCACTGATGTGAAACTCCGTCCTTAGACTACACACAGCCAGCGACAACTCTTGTGAGGGGGTTGCTTGTATTTTCCCTCAGTGTAGGCTGGTTTTCTCTCACCAAGGAGTCAAGTTAGAGGAATCTGGGGCGCGTGTAGGGCGGGTTGTGCCTGCAGATTCATACATGTGTTCTATCCCAGGACGTGGCTTCGATGGGCCAATTTAATGCAGAGATGAAGAGTTGACTTCTTATAGGCTTCAGAAAGTTCAGGGTAAGAGTTTTCACATCTGAGCTTCCAAAAGATTGGGGGCGGCAAGGGGTTCAACGTTGATTGTACTTCCAGCAAGAGACCCAGAGGCTTTCCCCAGGCCCCAGTGCCCCTGGGGAGAGCAGAAGCATCGGGCAAGGGCCTCGCCCGCACACGCAGCTCCTCCACCTCCAGCAGGTGTCCTTTGGGAAGCAAAGCGAGAGGCACCACAAGCCTGGCTTCTAAGTCTAGGGCCTCGGGCCTCACACAACGGGACCTGCGTACGCCAGGGCCAGGACAGACAGCGGGTGTCATCGGCAGGCCCAACACCCCCACTCCACCCCAGTGGGGCTGGGAAGGGCACCACCTCGTCTGCTTGCAGGTCTCCCCTTCCTGTCTTAGCTCCCCACCGGCCACCCTTCCTCTTCTGATGGGCTGGCTCCCTCTGTGTGTGGAGTCTTAGCTTTAGATGTTGTCACACAGTCAGGCTTTGTGCCTCTTCCTGCTCCTCACGGTGAGAAACAGTTTATCTTCACCTATGACTTAGTCTCAGAGTGGCCTGGGGGAGGGCTGGGGACAGCTCGCCACCCAGTTTTCTTCCTTTCGTGGAAATCTGTTTGCTTCTCCCTCTCTCCACTCACCCCTCCAGCCGCCCGCCACCCCACTCTTCTAACAGACGGAGTAAGGGTGAAGGGGGGAAGCAAGTGTCTTAAAATACGTGTAGACACTATAGGCTCCCAGACCCACACACACACAAATCCAAACATCTTAGTGTGTCAGTTCTGATGCTACACAGCCCAGCCTTGGGACAGGGGTGGGGAGAATCCCAGGGAATTCAAGTGGCAGGAAGGAAGGAGACTTTCTGAATGGAGTTCCTAGTAGGAAGCAGACCTTGTTAGAAGCCACCTGCCCGGAAGCCTTCCTGGACCGCCACCCTGCCCCGCTGCGAGCAGGGTCAGGTGCCCTCCCTGCAGCTCCCCCACCAGCCCTGCAACAGCCACTTGGGAGGGCCCGCCTTGCTCGCTGGTGCATCGCAGGCACTAAACAGTCATTTAAGAACCATTTTCTGGGCGCGGGTGGTGGCGGGGAGGTGTAGGGTAGTGGGACATCTGTAACAGTGTCAACAATAAAAATAAAAAGCCAAAGAGCCATTTGCTAACCGATACATTGATTCTCTCATCTAGTCTTCACGATAGCCCTCTGTGGCAAACATTTATAAGTATATTTTCCAGCCAAAGAGACCTCAGGTGGTTAAGTGAAACTCTATAGCCTAAGAAAAGCAAAATACATATTGACCAGCAGTCCTGGCTCTGCACCCCACTGTCTCCCAGTGGAGAGAGCCGGGCCGGTGTGGGGAGGGCGAGGCAGCCTGAGCCCCAAGGCCAGGGGTCCATTTCTCTCCCCTGAGTGCCCTCCTCTGAGATTCCCAGGCAAATGCAATCTACTAAAGGTAGAGACATGGTTTCTCAAAGCACCTTTGACATGTCCTCTGAGGTGATAGAAAAACAGCTATTTTTTCTTTAACAGTCCCCTAAGAACAAAGACTTCCTTTACTGAGGATTTTTAAATAAAATGACAACTCTCTGTGAACCCTAAACTCACACATAAATAGTATTCTTGCTCATTGCAAAGATGTTCTGCCCCTTGTACCGGAGAGGACTCAGGGACAATGGTAATCATAATGAATGGCCTTGGAAGCACTGCCATGTCAATCGCTGACTAAATTATTTCTACCCTGGATCAGTAAGATGCTTGCCTTCTTCTTACTATTAGCTTCTTCACGGAAATGATTTAGATTTAGTGGGTAGCTTTTAGTATTTTCACGGACCCTCATTTGTGACTTGTCAACTAATGAAATAAAACATTTCAGTGGGCTCTGAAGATGGAAAATCTGTACCGAAGCCTTGTCTGAAGGCTTTGAGTTTTATACGCAGAGCATGAGTCATACTTGGTTGTTCTCACCCCACTCAGTGATGAACTGTGCTAAACCCAAACATGCATTCCTCATGACAGAGAGTTCATGATTGCAAAATGTTAACTCTTCATGAAAGAAAGCACTTAGCTCTGATATATAATGCATCAGTGTCACGCACATTCTTATAAAATACCCTTTAAGATTCTAAATGTTAAAATATCTTAGGAATGCCACCAGCTAGAAGTCACAGGAATGACTTCCTCCTTAAGCATTTTAATTCATTATGAACAATAGCCTCCAAACCAGATAATATCGTTTCAAACATCATCTAGCTTCCTCTGCCAGCCATAACCATAAAAACATCATTTCCCCCACTGTTATTTTCATCATCTATTTTTCTCTTGAACTGTTTCAACGTAACATAACATACTACTTTTTGTTTCAGTGAATGTTAGGTTCTCGGGATTCTCAACAGCCATTTGGTCTGCCCCGTATAACTATGTTTATCTAGCAAACATTTACATCCTGGTTCACTTTATTACAGAGCTATAACTCATAACAACCCGGGGCCTTGCTGCAGAAGAGGACAGCACCCAAAGTAATCATTCAAGCTGTGCTCTAAAGTTAAGGTACAACTTTTTCTTTTTCTCTTTCAAAGCACAGCTAAGGTAGCCAAATGACCATTCCCCTTGGTAGTTCATGCACTTTTTCAACGTTGCAGACACTAGTCAAAGCACCTCTAGAACCTTTTTACAACACCCTTCAGACACAATTTAATAAGCTACGAAAGGAAACCAGTTCCACTGCATTCTATGCACAACTTACTTTTGACTCAAAATATAATCTGGCCACCCACCTTATTCACTGGACGTAGCTCCCAGGGGCTGCCTCCCAAAATCAAATCCACCAGAAAAAGGTTAAGATTTGCTATCACTGAAGAGATTTAAAAGAACGTGCCTCAGGCTCTGAGAGCAAATCCACAAGAGGAGTTTGAAACATGATGTGAGAGCAGTATCTCTGGGCCAAGTGCATGAACACCCAAGGGACTTCTGCAAAGCACGCTCCATTCACTCTGAAGTAGAAGTTCTGCCTCATTTAAAGAAGAAGCAGGAGAAGGCCGTGCCCACTTCTGCGCACATTCAGGTTTTACCCGTTGCCTTGATAGGGATCTTCGGTTTGGGCTCAAACATCACAGGGTAACTGCAACTCTGCACACCTGCTCGGAGACGGAGGTTGCAAATGCTTCAGTACTAAGGCAAAGCCCAGTGAGTGTTAACTTGTCATCTTTTCAAAATAACAGATCTCCTGCCCAGCTCCAGAGGGAACAGGTTGAACCTTGTACCCAAAGATAATCTGAAAGTTTAGAGAAAGCATAAATTGGGATTCAGACAGAGCAAGATTTAAATCCCAGCTCCACTTACGAGCAAGGATGAGGCTCTGATCTTCCCATCTGGAAAATGGGTATAATAATGTCCATCTCAGAGCGGTTTTATAAAAACTGCTGTATAGTCCTTGGAATATAGTAAGCAATCCACAGTGGCTGCTATTAGCCACCTGTGTTTCAGACTTTTGCCTTCTGGAGTTTTTACCTTCCTCCCTGCCCCCTCTTTGAATAACAACTGTTGAATTTCAGAACCTGAGAAGCTTCGCCAGTGCCCAAATCCTCATTGAGCTAAGTCATACAAGCTTACACATGTGCATAGGATTCTAATGCCAGGTGTTTACTGTCTCAGCAGTTTCAAAGGATCTAGAGGTGTTTAAATCAAGTTGTTAGTGGTACTTTTATTCCTCATGCATAATCTGAACAATCACAGACACTCCAGAAACGTCTTCTGAGGTCATCTGCTCAGCGCACTGCAAACACCTTAGGATGAGAATTTACCCTTTCCCTCTTCATTCAATGAATATTTATTGGACCCTTGCTAGAATATTTTTTGAGCACTATGCTAGGCTCTAGGGAGACAGCAGTGAACAATAACCACAAAAGTAGAACAACCTGCCCTCACGAGTTCACATCTATTGGAGAGATAAGCAGCGAACACGATAATTTAGTGATCCAGTATGTTACAGCAGGCTGATTACTAAAAGGAACATAAAGGAAGGAGGAGGGATAGAAGCTTGGGTGGGTTGCATATTTAACTAGAGTGGCCAGAGAAGTCCTCAGTGAGATAAGAGAGGTAGGTCTTTAAAAAAATCCAACGGCCATTTTGAGGTAGAACAGTCCTTAAGATCAGCATACACCCCTCGGTTTAGTCGGCATTGGACTTCTCCACACTAAGCGCTGCTTTCCCTTCGGGCCTGCCCCGCGAGGGGGGCGCTGACGCCCAGCCCTGTGCACAGCATCTCCCAGCGGCCATGCTCACTGCCCAGCCCCAGCCCTCCACTAACTGCTCGCTTCCCCGCCTTTCTGAGCCTGTCAGAGCCCCTTTGAATCCTTGTAAGCCAATTCCATGATGGACTGCAGACACGTAGACAGAAATATGACCAGAGCAATGTACCTGGTGGAAAATTCCAGGGTAGTGGGAGTTTTCTAGACACTGCACCCCTGTGCTATCCTGTCCTTCAGCTGGTCTCTGCTGCCTTGGCCTGTTTTACCAAGTCACAATAATAACAATAACAACAGGCACACTGGCCTACCATTTACTGAGCATCTCACATGGGCTAGTTATGCTCATCTTCCTCCTTAACCACCCCAACAATTTTTTATCTTTTCACAGAGGAGGGAACTGAGGCAAAGAGAGCGCACGTATCTTGCTCAAGATCGCACAGGCAAGAAATGGTACAGCTTGATTGGACAGTCTGTCTTTACATCTCTTTACAATGGTAGCCAGTTGAATTTTGCCAATATCTTCGCTACCCTTGACTACAGAATACAACTGTATCACATTAATGTGATTTGTTAGGTCTCTCACACCAGGTGGGTGGGTACCCAACATCCCAAGCCTGTTTGCCTGATTCTGATTACCACATGGTTATTTGTCAAAGATTAATTTTAAACTTCAACATTTGCCATTATTCACATCCAAAAAATATTTTTCCTTTGCATTTTAAAAAAATAGTTCTTTGACCCCATTGTTTTTCCCCCTAAGATGCTTCCCATTTCCTGCTTCAGTGTGTGAGCATAAATTTTAGATACATTCATTCATAGATGCTATTTTTATTAGCTGTTGCCACTATACAAATAAGCAAGAGGCGCTTCAGTGTCTGCCACCTAGTTGTGCTGGACATGAAGGTGAAGGACATTTATAAAAACGGTTTCATATGCACTCCGGGATAAGGCTCTAGGTGCTGTTACAGACATACACTGCTTTATGGAAAAGGCACGGCACTGTCTTCTGAAAATCACAAGAATTAGAATTGATATGGCTTGTCAGTTCCTAATCTCAGCATGCGTTTTATAGGGAGCATAGAACTAACACAAGGTAGTTGAAAATAAGTTGACCAGTGGTGTTTTAATTATGTACAGCAGTTTTAAATATATTTTTTTGCAAAAGTGCCCAAATATATCTATAGATTTTTGGCCTTGGGCAAATGTAGTTATTTTTGTTTAAAATTCCATTCACAATATTAAAAATGGTTAAGAAAATTGGGGACCTCTTTCAGCTGATCAGAAAGTAGCAACAGTCCTTATCCTGCTGTTTACTTTGACAGAAAAATCGTGTTTGACTTGCTGGCAAGTCTGAAATAGTTTGGCCTGAGCTTCGGGAAGCCAGGTTCAGACTGCGGGATCCCTGCTTCCTTGCCCGTAGCCCCTTGTCCTGGGAACACCTGCTTGCTCAAACGATAGACGTTGAGTCAACTCAGTAAGATTGTGAATCCTACTCACTGTAATACTGATGCATACTTCACGGAGAGAACTAGTTTGAAACATCAGTGTGAATGTTTGTACTTATTTATAAATTGTCACTAGGCCCATAGGTTGAAAAACAAAATCACGTAACCCAGCTGAGACCCGACACCAGTTGGCTTTGCTTATCAGGAAAAAACAGTTATGGGCTCAGTGAGAGAGGGACAGGCTGGACAGTAGAGGAAATCGTTTTCTTCTAGAAGGAACTGATGTCATTTCTTTGTTGCTGTTAGCTCAGTCCTCAGACCGAGTCCTCAGCTCACTACAAGTCAAAAAATATTTCATGATATGAGAGCATGCTCACAATAATACTACCGTTAAATGAAAAATAAGCAGGATACAAAACTTGAATTTGAATATGAAAGTTTCAACTTGAGTTCAACTTGTTATTATACACATACATGCAAATGTTAATAGAGGTAACTTCCAGGTAACAAGATACACGTGGTATTTATGTTTTCCTTTTCCTTGTTCTGTACTTCCCAAATTTTCTTCCTTAAAATTAGTTTAGGTAACATTGGTTAGTAACATTATATAAATTTCAGCTATATAAAATTATAATTTGATATCTGCATACCCTATTGAGTGCTCACCACCCGAAGTCCAGTTTCCCTCTGTTACAATGCATTTGCTTCACTTTATCCATTTCTCTCTCCACACCCACCTTCCCCTCTGATAACTACCATTCTGCTGTCTGTATCTATGAGTTTGTTCTTTTTGGTTTTATATTCTACATAAGTGAAACTACGTGGATTTTGTCCTTTTCCATGACCTATTTAACTTAGTATAATGCCCTCAAGATCTACCGGTGTTGTCAAAAAGAATAAAATACTTAGGAATAAACCTAACAAAAGAGGTGGGGGACCTATACACTACCAATGATAAGACATTGTTCAAAGAAACTGAAAACGATACAAAGAAATGGAAAAATATTCCATGTTCATGTTTTGGAAGAATTAGCATTGTTAAACTGTCCACATAACCTAAAGCAATCTACAGAGTCAATGCAATCTCTATATATCCCAACGATATTTTTCATAGAAACCGAACAGAATGTGGTATAGCACCACAAAAACCTGAATATCCAAAGCAATCCTGGGTGGGGTGGGGAAGCTGGAGGTATCATACGCCTTGATTTCAAACTATACTACAAAGATATAGTGATCAAAACACTATGGTATTGTCAGAAAACCAGGCGAGAATGATGAACACAATTGAGAGCCCAGAAATAAACCCACACTTATATGAGTAACTAATTTACAAAAGAGGAGCCAAAAAACATTCAGTGAAGAAAGGAAAGTCTCTTCAGTAAATGGTGTTGGGGAAACTGAACAGCTAATGGCAAATGAATGAAACTGGAGTCCTATATGACACAAAGCACGAAAATTAACTCAAAATGGATTAAGACTTGAATGTAAGACTTAAAACAATAAAATACATAGAAGAAAACATAGGCACTAAGCTTCTGGACATTGGTCTCAGATGTGTTTTTGTGAATTCTGACTCCAAATGCAAGGGCAACTTATTATATCAAAAATAAATGAACAGAACTCCATCTAACTAAAAAGCCTCTGTCCTGCAGAAGAAACCAAGTTTTCTATAGGTACCTATTATTTTTTAAAGCCAGATGGAAAAATTATTGTTGACTTTTTTAATGGCATTGAGCAAGCTTACCTAAGTTTTCTCCATAAACCTTTTCACGCCCTCAGTTGCAATATGTTTTATGTAACAACCTCTGCTTTTGTAGCAGTTGATGCTGAGGAGACTCACTGAACCACAGCTGAACATTGCAAAGTCATTTTCCTCTCCAGGGTCACATTTAGCTGATTCCAACCAGATGCAAATGCCACATAGACTCCAAAACAAGAAATGCCACAGGTTTTCGCATGAACCCTTCTGAAGTCCTGTCTTAATTTTTTCTTAAGATGGAAATCAGAGCTGGGAGATGCATCCTAGGCTATCGAGCAGCGTTGCTTTCTCATGGGAAAGATAAGGGGGTACCCAGAAATAGAAGAGTGTGGTTTCCGGGAAATTCACTCCGTGTCTGAGCTCAGAAAGAAAGAGGTAGTGGGAAATGCACGACATTCATCGGAGGAAAACATGTTTGTGACGAGTGCACTCATGGGTTGCGAGACTAGGCTTCAGACTCAGCCTGCTGTTTTCTTGTTATTATTACACAGATCATTGTAGCTGCATATTTTTTAATCATTTAGAGGAAAAGGAAGTATTGCTGTAAATTCTTCTTAATGAATCCTTTCTGTTTAAAAGGACATCAAAAATTA